GCGGCCTAGGGCGCGGCTAGAACTAACAACACCGAACGACAATAACATGCCTAAGGAGGACCCAGCCTTGGTTTGCGCGCGCGACGACAACGCGATGTGACACGCCCTGCCAAATGCCGCCCCGCGCCGCCGCCGCAGCCCTCGTCATCCAGACGTGCTGACTCGTAGCGTGCTCCTGACGTGCATATCATATCAGCGATGTTCACTCTTCGCATCCTCTGTGTGGGCACGCTCGCGCTCTGCTGCTGCGCAATCAATGCCCGCGGAAGCTGAGACGCAGCTTGTTGGGCAGACAATCAAGAGCGGCGAGATCCTCGCCGAGGTTTTCGAAGGGAATACGTCCGACTCTCGGTTCGCCTCCAGAAGTGCCTCGTCATGCGCAGAAATGAAAAAGACACCTGCCCCGAGGTGATCATGGACTTTACCTGGGACATTATGGGATGCGAGTGCCGGGCAAGTGCCTGGAAAGTCACCCTGTGGGTCATTGGCGGTTTTCTCGCCATCCCTCTGATGTGCATTGCACTGAAGTGGTGGTGCAAGAGCGATGACAAGCTCTAAGCCACGACACGTCCCGCCAAGGAGCGCCCCCGTCAACTAGGTAGATCTACTAAAGCCCAGCCGTCAAGGAGAGCGCACGCGGCGGGGAGAGAGCGCGGCGGTCCGACACACGGGTGAGCGACTGTCGATTAGAGTTAACAGCGCATCTCATCTGCCACACAATTGACGATAGAAGCAAAGGAAGCATGTAACATCCCGTACCTTGTCCGTCTCGAGTTGTCCCCGTGTGCCGTGAGTCTGTGATCAGCGCCCAACCGCCCAGCCCTCCACCCACCCCTCCGCAAGACAGCGGAGAGGGCACTCGCGTCCGTGTCGCGGCGCTGAGCTGAGAGTCGCCAGTGCACCCCGGAGGGATCGGCACCATGATCGGCACCTTTTTGGCAGAGGGGAGTCGCGAAGGCCGCGGTCTCACACTCAACATGTCGGCCACCATACAACAAATCTCGGCCGGGTGGCCGGGTGCTCAACGCTCTCCGCCAACGAAATCCCTTTCCAAATGCGGGGCTCTGCTCCACCGAGATTTATCTCTAAGAAAAAATTAAATATTCTTAGCTTTGCCCTTGCCTCCGACGCTAGAGACAGTCACCACGGATACATACGTCCGTGGGAGTGCCCCCCTCCCCCACCTGCCCTGCTTACACAGGATAGCATGCCCCGAGAACGGCGGCATTTGGCGGGGGTAACCTGGGAAGGAGGTTTGGTTGTGCTTTCTTTTTCGCTCTCGAAGGAATGTTCTCTCGACGCCACTGGCCTTCTGAGGTTTCGTACTGGTGACGTCCTTCTTGGCACTTCGGGCGTCGGTGTGTGTGGTGAATTCCCTCGGTTTTTATGTGTTTTATTATTTTTGGCTATATCATCGGACGTTGAGTGGGCACCATCTCCAGTCCATCATCTACGATGCCAACCCGAGCCGTCTGCCGCTCGAGGATCGAGTGGCCTCCGGATCGAATCGGCACCTTGACCCTTATAATTTTTTTTTCACATCTTGAGCGGGCCCAATTTTGCTCAGATGCACCTCCGAATTCGAACTCACGTCATCACGCTTAGCGCTTGGTGTGTGTCCGTTTTTCGTCACGGGTAGATTTATCTCTAAGAGCTATGGTTCACTCTCAGGGTTTAAGTTCATATGCGATCCCTGGTCTGGTCGCGGGATATCGCGGGATACCGCGGGATACTGGGAGATACCGGGAGATAAAGGGAGATACGAGATACGGGAAAAACCGGGGGATACGCTCGAGATACGGGTAGGAGCAAAACGCAAGCAGAACGCGCTCACTTCAAGCAGGGGCTGGGGATGGCTACCTTTCGCTCGATCATTTTATCGTTATTACATTGGGCGAGGCACGCTGCGCAGCTCTCCGCCCGTTAGCAGTTGCTCTCGCTCGCGACCCGAACGTGCGGCGCGCCATGCACACCCACGCGATGCTCCACAGGCACGTGGCGGCCGCCACGCCCGTGCGCCGCGCCAGGACCGGCGCATGGCCGAGCCCGACCATCTCTGGAAATTCAGCCACAACAGGAAGGTACAAAAGAGGGATTGCGCCTGTCAGACCTGCCTCGATGACGCCACGCAAGGCAGTCCAGGTAATCGCTAGGCAAGCACGGCGTGCAAATGATCGGAGGTCTGGCTGACTACTCCTGCGCGCGAGGCGCGCGCCTCGCCTAAGAACCACAGCACAGAAGCAAGGAGCCGCGACGAGCACAAAGGTACAGAGTAGAACGAAGCAAAGACTTTGGGTAAATGCCGAAGTCCCTTGCACCAGCCGCATGCCTTCTCCGAAAAGGAGGCAGGCGGCTGGTAGTAGCAGCATCAGAAGCGTCGAGTATGGCAACGTTTGACCGATTCGCTCCAGGATCTCCTCCTTGAGAGTCGTCCTCACCAGTTCGTTGAAACTATCCAAGCCATTGACGCCGCGTCTCGCATACATTTCTGCAATGGAGGCGTGTATTTCGTCACGATCGATGGCGCTAAAACACCCGGCCAGCTTCACATCAAACGAGTCGAGATGCCCTTGTAGCGCAACCCGCTGGTAGAAAAAGGCCGCGCCGAAAATAGTGCCGGCAAAGTACACGACGAAGCAGAGGCCAAAATTGAGTAGGTGCAACCCTAGGAAGGGGAGCCACTGAGTCTGCCACCACTCGTCAGCTAGGAGGACTCGCTCTCCGGTCGGGGTCTGCATCGATCCGGTCAATGATCCTCGGCAGGCGACAATGATGAACAGCCCCCCCAAGGCCATCACGATGGCCTCTACTACAATTGTGCCGAAAATGACGGCGCTGCTGCGCAGCGGCAAGAAGACCAGTTCGTAGTGTTCGTCCCAAAGGACAAGCAGCTTCGACGACATTGCAACAAAACCGGCGATATGTCGAATTCCTTCAGTCTTCAGAACACGGTTCGTCTGATGGATGCAGCAAACGTCAACAAAGTAATTTTTTTCGCGCTGCGCCGCAAGGAGGAAAAAGACTGAGGCGACCGCTGCTATCATGCCGGCGACGTACTCGTGTGGGGATGCGATGAGAACGCTTGGGTTGTCGGCAACGACCCTCGTTCTGATGTTGCCGGGGAGCTCAGTTACTGAATGTTGAATGTGACCGATAACAAGGCCGGCGACGCAGCCGACGAAGAGTGGAACGAGTCCGATCTCGTGTAGCGCGAGAGCAATCCACTTGTGGCCGCCCTCTGCTTGCCACGCGTGCGAGACGAAGGAGTCGATGGCGCAGACGGTGCGTGACCGCTCAAAGAGACGCTCACGCTCCTCAAGGGCCAGCTTGTCCGGAAGTTTGGCGAAGAGAGAGCTGCAATGCGCGAGCGTGCTGGCGATGCTTACGCCACGCTGCAGATCTCGTGGAGGGTAGAGCTCCTTGGCAGCGGCGATGTACGTGGACACTTTTGCAGCCTGCGCCACGGCGGCTTCCTCTACCCGTTCCAGCGCTGCTGGCGAGGAATTCCTTGTCCCACCCGTCCCCTGCATGAAACAGAGCAGAGATCGGTAGGACGCCTTGGTGTCTTGGCCGACTACTGCACGAGTACGATCTACCCCCCCCCCCCCCTGTTGATAAGCACTAGCAGACCTTGCGCGCACGCGCGCCAAATTTGTTTTTCTGTTTGCAACAACAGCCCGAGGGGTGAAATGTCTTTGTTGTCTCGGCAGAGCGACATCGCGAGCACCGGGCTGGGGTGCCCCCGGTCGTGTTGGGTTGGGGGGGCCCCCGGCCCTCGGGGGGGGGCGCCCTTTGGGCCCGGCGGGGTGGTTCGCCCGGGTCGTTTCCCTTTCTCGCGGGGGGGGGGGGGGGGGGGCGCAAGCCCTCCCCACCACTGCTACTCTGTACTGCATGCAACTCAGCAGTGGTCGCAAGCGTCGCAAAGGGCAGGGAGGCAGCCTCGCGCGCTGTCGAACGCCCCCCCGGCCCAGACAGAGGCATCACAATCATGCTCTGGCCAGCGTCTGGTGGGTCGGCATTGCGCAACACATGCCGCAATCAGCCTGAGAGCAGATGATGGGGTGGGCGCGGGTGGACGAGAGTGGAGCCGAGTTGGGTGGGAGAGGGAGCACGCACGTGCAGCGGTGCCGAGAGTGGGTTGATGGCACCGCCTGCGGCCGCCCGGGCGGATACGGCTTGCGCAGGTATGTTGTTCATGTCCTTATCCGCCGCCGCTTGGCTGCAGCAGCCAATGATGCCGCCCGCCTTTGAGAGGCGGCGTCTGGACGTGCTTGGCGGTTGACGCCGGCCCGACACTGCGCCTCGTGCGCGTCCACCTCCGTCGAGGTCGACGCGTCGAGATCGGCGCGCATCACCGATATGCCAGAGCCCGCCTTCGCCGTCATGATTCCCCGCCAGAGAGCTCGGTGAGCTGAGAGGTGTGTTGGTATCACTTTTGTGCTGGGTGGCGGCTTCACTCCGCTGAAACGGAAAACCGGCCGCGGGGAAATATAAGGTAAGATGGTATGGGACCCCATACTAGTGTGACACTACAGCTGCCGCTCGTCGACCCCGACGCCGCGCCGCTCGTGCTCTACTCATCCGGCGTGAGCGGCATTCGCTTCTGATGGGGTCCGCTCGAGGAGGGCGCCTCGACGGTGGGGGAGGTGCCAGGCAAATCGGGAAACCGTTTTTACGTCGCGCATTTTTCTTTTCTCAAGTGCCTGGAGTTCTTAGTGTGCCCGTGTTATACCGTACCCGCACGTGCCAGTCGCAGTCCGCGTCTGTGTCGAGCCTGTCTGCTGTGTGATAGAGAGTTTTCTTTGTTGTCTCTGTGCTGTGAAATTCTTTTTTTCGTGGTTAAATTTTCTTATTTCCCTCTCCTCTCTGCTCTCACAACCTTGTATACATTGTGTAACCTGTGTTAGGTGGTGCGCCCTTCCGGGTATGGTAGGGTCCGCGGATGGTCCTGACCGCCCGGAAGCACATCATACCTTACCCCGCAAATAGTCCGAACCCAGCTAGTTCCGCCTCGCTGCAGCAGACTCACTCAGTCTCTCTCTCTCCGGTCCCCCGTCCCGTAATTCCTCCCGTATCCACGCGCCCAGCAGCGCGTACCGCGCCGCCTCCGCCTCATCGCGGCCGCGCATCCCCACGGCCTCGCCCAGCTGCATGTAGAGCGGCGCCTCCTGTGTGTGCGCCTCCCAGCGTGGCAGGCCCGCGCCGTTTGGGTCACCGGAGAGCGCAAAATTGGCGAGGAATGCCATCGCCGCATCGGGCGCCGGTCCAGCGGGTCGGCCGTCGTCGCCCCACCGGGACCCGTTCCACAGCGGCGTGTCCGACCCGTGCTCCGTGTGACCCGTCTGCGTCACACGGTACACGTAGACCGGCGCCGCCGCCGGCGCGTCCACGAGCAAGTCCGCCATCGCCCAGCTGCCCACGGCGTACCACAAGTCGTCGGACAGCCGCCCGAGCGCGACCTCGACGTCATTGTCAGATTCGGCCGGGTAGAGCCGCAGCGCCTCCGCCAGCCGCGCCGCGCCGAGCTTCCGCTCGAGGAGGCGGCGGTACTCGTCAACTGTCGCCACGTCGTCGAACATCGTCCACTCGAGCTCCGCCTTGCCGAGCCCGTCGTCAGCCGTCACGCCGAGCAGCACCGGAACGCGGTGGAAGCGGCCGCTCGACAGCGCCTCCACGGACGTGAGGGGCTTGGCGGCGCCGAGGCCCGCCCGCCGGTCCACGGCCGGCTCGTAGCAGTCGGTGGCCGCCGTGTCCCAGCTCTTGTCGACGATGGCGCTCGCGGGCAGCGAGCGGCACCGCCGCAGCTCCTCCGCCGCGTCGTCGCTCGCGCAGCCCAGCGCAGCTGCCAGCGCGCGGCCCCACTCCTCCGCCGTCTTGTGCTGCCACACTTCGTGCCGCCCGCGCAGCTCGCGCACGTTGGTGAGGTCGACGCACGACTGGATCATCGCCCGGTGAAAGAGCTCTTCAGCGAGCGGCGACACGAGCAGCGTCGCAACAAGCTGCGCGCCGGTGCTGAGGCCCCAGATGGTGACGTTGGCCGGGTCGCCGCCAAAGGACGCGCCGTGCGCCTGCACCCACCGCAGCGCCGCGACCAGGTCGAGCACCGCATAGTTTCCGCTGCCGCGCTCGCCGCCCTCGTCGTCCTCGGCGGAGAGTGCGGGGTGCGCCATGAAGCCGAGCGCGCCCAAGCGGTACTGCGCCGCCACGTAGACGAGGCCGTGCCTCGCTGCCAGCTGGTGGCCGCTGTAGTCGTCGTCGTGCGCGCTCATCAGCTTGCCGGCGCCGCCGTGAATGTAGAAGAGTACCGGCCGGAGCGCTTCACCTCCACCGATCAGCGCCTCCGGCGTCCACACATTCAGCTGCAGGCAGCCAGCCTCCGAATCTGCCACCCGCACGCCGAAGGCTGTGCCACGCTTATTCCAGCCGAGGTCTGGCTGCGGCGCGCGCCAAAGCGGTGCCCAGCTCTGCGCGCTCTGCACCTCATCTGCGGCGGCGGGCGGGAGCGGCTTCGGCGGCCGCCACCGGTCCGCTCCGACTGGCGGCGCGGCGAACGGGACGCCGAGAAAGCGGGCAACGCCGCCGGTGGCACAGCCGCCGATGGAGCGCCCATCTTTGAGGCGAAGCGCTAGCCTCGTAGGCCGGAGGCGACGGCGCCAGGTAAGGAGGGCGAGACCGATGGCGGCGGCCATCGCGCCAACGGCTGCGGCGGCGAGGTCGCGAGGCATACAGGCACACACATATGGTGCCGGGGACAAGAAGAAACCAGACCTCTCCCGGCAGTACAACGAGGGGTACAATACTGACCTCGCAGAACCCCATGCGGGACGGGGGGGTGCGATGAAGTGAATGAAATGCTCTGGACGCCCCTCCTCAAGACCTCCTCGCCGGGCGTTGGCAACGCCTCGAGTGGCGGCACGCCCGCCTCCGTTGGCCACTCCTACGCCTTCCAGGCCCCAAATGACGTGTGAGTGTTAGAGTTGTTTGGTATTGTATTGCTAAAAATCTACGGGTATGTTCGTAAGAGCTACAAACACTGAAAATCTCTCTCTCACCCCTGTCAGTGCCCAAATCCACACTTTTTGAGAGAGAGACAGAGTTGTTTTTGCACTTTTTTTCAATCGAAGTATGGCTTAGGAAATCGAAACAAAACTGTTTGCCGGACCCGGGATCAGCTGGCCGAACAAGATCGGCCGAATGCGGTCGGCTTGAGGTCGTCGGACCCCGCGCAATCGCTTCGCCGTGGTCGAGTTAGTGGGGTAAGCCGCTGACGCCATACCCGCAGCTTGGCTCCCCGCGTGACACCAGGCCGTCGTCCGGCCAAAATTTTCTTCGGGGCGGCTGCGCCGCCCTGCAGACACCCCGTTGGCGGCACCGAGCGCGAGTTTCCGACGCGCTCGTGACTGGTAACAGACACGGATCGGTCGCCGGTGGGCTCAGCCAATCGCCTCCAGCAAATCCTTCATCACACGGACGAGACGCGTTCGTTGCTGCGAGGCGGCCACCGAGCCTTCCTGCAAAGAGTTCGGATACGCCAGCCTGTTGTCGGCGTGATCGCCACTGGGCTTAGCTGAGGGTCAGGGAGCCGGTGGTATAGCAGCCACTGCGCAGCACGCGAGCAACCGTACCCGGATGAGTGCCTTGTCCGCTCGGTCGGCGCGGCCTCCGTCCGTGGCAGGCTGCCGTGTCCGTGCCGTGGGGTGTCTGCGTGAAAGACTCCAGATATAACTCTACGTCTGGCCACTAAATCTCGCATCCCAAAGATTCCAACCAGTAGGCTCACCGTCCCCCTGGTCCCGGTGAGCCGGCCGTCAACACCGTCGCGGCCGGCGCGGCCGCCGCTCACCTGTCCCGTCCTCCTGTGTAACCCTAGACTTGTGGTGCTGGGCAGGCCGAACATGCACAAGAAAATCCCGTGGAAAACGGTTAAAATGGCACCGATTTATGATTTTCCGCGCGCTGCGCGCGCCGAGCACGGCCACGGCGCGAAAAAAGTGCTTGCGCCTTGCCGGAGTCCGTTTTCAGTGGACGGACACCCAAAACGACATTTGCATCGGCCGGGCGGACAAATTTAGTGCCTGGGACCCCTTTTACTTTTTGAGCTCGGGTGCGCTCTGCGATGATGTGAAAATTGTGACCAAAATCCGCTGTGATCAAGAGGAAGTATTTAAACAAAACAAGTCTCTCTCACAGCAGAGGGGGGGTCACACTAAGCCCTACCCCACCCCCCGCCGACCACCCCAACCCATCAAAGCCCTCGCAAGAGTTGGCCGACGAGTAGATGTGTGTGTCTCCGAGCGTCTCTCGGCGTCTTCCACTCGTGTACCACCCGCACTACTCGTGCTCCTGGCCGCCCAAGCACCGCTTCCCGATGTCCAAGTTTGCGGACCTCCACGCGTTTCTCCTCACCCAGCCGTCGGTCCTCGCGACGGCCTCGTGGCACCAGCCGGAGCTGCCTCCGCACGCGTGGGTCGAGGCGGTCCACGAGCGCGAGTACTACCGCGCCTTCCTCGGCAGCAGGCTGGGCGACGCCGAGGCACGCCGCATAGGCTTCCGCGAGCAGCTCAGCCGACCGGAGCTGATCCGGCGCACGCGGCTCGAGGTTGGCGGCACCGTCCTCACGGCGAAGCTGGCGCTGCGGCACGGGCTGGCCTGCAACCTGGCGGGCGGGACCCATCACGCGCACGCCGGCACGTGCTCAACGACTCCTCGCCGAGCCGTCGCCCGACCGCTTGCGGTGACGCCACGACGCCGCGGTGTGCAGGCGCCGGCTCCGGCTTCACCATCCTCAACGACCTCGCGGTGGCCGCCGCCTATGTGCGCAAGCACGAGGGCGTGTCGCGCGTGGCTGTCGTCGACCTCGACGTCCACCAGGGCGACGGCACCGCCACGCTCTTCGAGGGCGACGGCTCGGTCTTCACGCTGTCGATGCACTGCGGCGCCAACTTCCCCTTCCGCAAGGCGCGCTCTGACCTCGACATCGACGTGCCCTCGGGTGTGCCTGCGACGAGGCCGGCCGCAGCGGCTCCTCGCGCCGCCTCACAGCTGCCGCCGCGAGTAGGCACCGCCGACGCGGGCTACCTGAGGCTGCTGCGCGAGGCGCTGCCGACGATGCTGCGCCGCTTCCGGCCCGAGCTGGCGCCGCCGTGGCGACGCGGCTCCGAGCCACAGGCGGACGTGTGTCTCACGCGTCCGGTGGCGCGTCCCTCCAGGTGCTGTACGACGCGGGCGTCGACGTGTGGGAGGGCGACGGGCTCGGCCACCTCAAGCTGTCGCACGCCGGCATATGGAGCCGCGACCGGTACGTCATCGAGACGTGTGTGCGCAGCGGCGTCCCCATCGCGTGCGTCATCGGCGGCGGGTACGACCGAGATCCACTGGCGCTGGCGCGGCGGCACGCACTGCTTCATCGCGCAGCCGCGCGGGTGTGGCGCGGGTCTGCGCGCCTCTCCGGCAGTGCGCCTGCGGAGGTGCCTCTCGAAGGGCTTGCGCCCGGGCGAGACCCCGGGCGAGCGCGGAGCGGGATCACTGAGAAGAAGGCGCGCGACCGAGTTGGAGGGCCGCGTTTGATTGATGCCTGATGTGGATCCGGATGCGCGCTTTCGGTGTGTCGTTATGCGACCCGCTTTTTTCTTCACCGCACACAAATCGCCGAAGAAGCGCGCGAACGGCCGAAGCCCCGAGAACGTCTCAACGTGTGGGTGTGGGAGCTGGGACGACGGTCGACGGACGTGTGGGGTGTCGCGCTCGCGGCGCTCGCGGCGCGGTCCCGCGGGGCCGCGCCCCACGTGACGCCAGTCGCCCGCGCTACGGCTACCGGGCACGCCGCGTGTGTGTAATTAACGAGCCAAGACGCCGAGAGCCAGAGCGCAGGCCGGGTCCCACGCGAGCCCTGCCCGGCGCCGGGCTCTCGGCCGGCCCGCGCTCTGGGCGCTGTACTGAGTACTCGCCCCCTGTGTGTCGAGAGAGTGTGGGCACTGGTGCGCGCCACACACAGACACACCCACAAGACAGCGTGCGCGCGGCTCCATGCAGATGTGCACCTCCGCCCCCCTCTCCCTCCTGCCCCTCTCCCTCCCCAATGGCCACACCCTGTCATCGAAGCGAACGAGCGTCTGGCCGCGGCAGCTACTCAGCGACGGCCGGCGCTGGACATGCATGCGCTCTGCTCGCTGCCCTCCCCTTCGAGATCGCCACTGCGATTGCGCCTTGCTGCGGCCTCTCAAAGCCCGCTCGCAGCCCACACCCACCCAGCATGCAAGCGCCGGCGTGCGAGCCTCACGTGCTCGCCTGCACTGCTCAGGCGTGGTTCTCCTTGGCCGTCGGCGCGGGCGTGACAAACGCGTTTGGCGGGAACTTGGCGGGCGGGCCCTTGCGTGGGCTGTTGACCGCGTGCTGCTCCCGCGGCGTGAGTGCGCCGTCAGGGGCGGCGGATTTGCGCGCGGGGGCCGTGCCCTTCCTCGGACCTATGGATAGTTGCGACACATGCGCGTCATTGGCGCGTCGCACACGGCTGCGGAGAGGAGGCAGCCGCGCGCCATTGGAGTAGCGCGCGCCGGGCCGGACCCCCTTGGCCTGGAGGCCCTTTGCCTCCTCGCGCGCCGCCTTCTTGGCTGCCCACTCCGCCTCCTTGCGCGCCTTCTCCTCCTTCTCGATGCGCGCGTCGTCCTCCTCCTGCGCGGCCAGCATCGAGACGATGGTCGCGCCGTCGTAGTGGAGCCGCTCGCCTGAGGGGTGGCGGACGGGCGCGGTGGGAGATGGGGCGGTGGGAGATGGGCCGGTGGAGGAGCTGCTGCGGTGGTGGGCGGGAGGTGCTGCTTCCGCCAGGGGAGAGGGCGCGGCGGCGGCTGGCATGCGGCGGAAGCCAACATCCGGGGGTGGGGGTGCGCGCGCCCGCGTGCTCCTCCTCCCACGCGGCCGTCATCTCGCGCAACCGCTTGTTCATACGTGGCAGGTCCTACAGAGGCGCCACTGGCACGCGTCATGGGGCGCGCCGCCTCGCGACCGCTCCTCGCGCCGGCGGCAGACAAGCCTTCTCGATGGTCGTGCGCAGCCGCTCCTCCTGCAGCAGCCTGCGCGCGACGCCGGCGCCCTTGGCGAGCAGCCGATTCGGGTCGTTGGCCGAGGCGCGCATCTCCGCCCGCTGCTGCAGGACGCCCTCGCGCTTGGAGAGGAGAGCGAAGAGCTTGACCGTGGTCGCCTGAGGGAGAAGGCCCATGCGGAGGCTCCGGTGAGGGACTCCAAGACGACGAGGCGAAGGCGAGGGCGAGGGCGAGGGCGAGGGCGAGGGCGAGGGCGAGGGCGAGGGCGAGGGCGAGGGCCGGGAGGGAGCTCGAGGCGGCCGCTCGCCTGCCTCTCGCGCAGCCGTCGCTCCTCTGCCTCGAGGTCGTACAGCTGCTGCTCCTCGTCGCCACCATCGCTGCTCACCGCCGCCGCCAGCTCGGCGGCCGACACGTGCAGCTCGGCCGCGAGCGCGGCGACACGCGAGCGCCTACAGAGCGCGCCGCGGGGACGTGTCGCTGACGGGCCCCGCCCGATGGGTGCGGGGCGGCGCGCGCGCGTCTCGGGGATCAGCTCTGAGATGCGCTCCGACTTGAGCGCCTCGAGCCGCTCGATCTCGGTGTGGTAGGTGACGAGGACCTGCCGGGGGTGTGGCGGGCGTCGGATGTGGGTGGGTGGGGAGGGGGGAGGGGGGGGCTTCAGTGCGGTGCGCGCGGATTGCCTGCTGCGAGAGGTCCTTCTCGGGCGAGGGCAGGTCCGGGTGCTGCTCCTCCGGGATCTTGAGCTTGTGGCGCAGCTCCGCAATGTACTCGGTGCACTGCGGCGGCGGCGGCGGGCGGGGATGGGCCGGGTGATGGGTTGGGAGGGTGCTCGGTCGGGCGGCGGCGGCGCGGTGGTGGCGGCGGTGGCAAGGGACGGCACGGCGAGGGTTGGAAGAGCGGCGGGCCTGCGAGAGGACGTGCAGCCGTCGCTTCTTCTCCTCGCGGAGATGGTCCAGCCGCGCCTCGAGGGCGGATAGCGCGCGGTAGGATGCGCCATCGCCCTCGGTGCCCTCGCACCCGGCCTCCTCCTTCGTCCCCAGCTGCTCCGTGATTGCATCTGCGGCGGCGCGCAGCGCAGCGAGCCGCTCGAGCCGCGCCGCCCGCTCCGCCTCAGCCGCCTCCAGCCGCTGGCGGAGCCGGTGGACGAGCTCGACGGTGAGACCGCCGGCGCCCTCCGGTGCGGGCTCATCCGCGTCTGCCGCCGTGCTCCGCGTCTGCTCCTCCTCTGGCGTGCCGGTGGACAGCTCCAGCAGTATTGCGTGCAGCGACGATGCGGCCGCGCTGCGCTGCGCCGCGCGCTCGTCCCGCAGCACGCGGAGCCGCTCGACTTCGGAGATGACAGCGCGGTAGCGCAGCAGCGGCGGCTCGCTGCTCGACGTCCCAGGCGACGCCGGCTCGGCAAGCGCGGCGGAGAGAGCCGAGAGCTCGCCGCGCAGCGACGCCTCATCCGCCGTCAGCTGCGCCTTGCGGGCCTGCTCGCCTTCGACGGTGCGGCTGAGCACGGAGCGCAGCTCACCGGCGAGCTTCGTGATTGCCTCCTCCGCCTCGGCGTGAGGGAGGCCGATCTCGGACCAGGCGGTCCGCAGCGAGGCGAGAGCGATCTGCTGCTCGTCAGTGGGCAACAGCGGCGAGGACATTGTGCCTGCGGCGGCGACGGACGTGGTGTCGGGGGCGGGGTTGCGGGGAGGGGGCAGGGCCGGGGCGGGCGGAGCCTGGCGGGGCGCGTAGAGCGCAGCGCAGCGAAGCGACGTGAGTGAAGAGTGAAGGAGCTCGGTTTGAAAGCCTCAAATTCTTCGTCGGAAAAGAATTCTCACGCCGCTTGAAAAGAGAAGAGGCTCCCCGAGCTCCCGAGATCACGCCCCTCCGCCCTCTAGGGCCGTACACCGTCCTCGGTCGTCGCGCTCCGGGTACGCGCCCCGTAGCCATACATGTACGTGTCAGCGCCGGTCACCGCGCGTGTGAATGCGACGGCGGGCGCGCTGCGGTCGCACGCCCCCCCAAGTCATATTCCATGGCGTGCGATCTAGATTCAGCCTACGCGCCTCTGCTCGCAAACACTCACATTGAATTGTCACTGCCCGTGAGTGCGAGTTAGGGCTAGCGGCTGGCCAATAGCCTGTGAGGAGGGCGTCCATAGACACCTGGTCTCGTCCATGCCTTGCGGCTGGCGGCGACATTGCTAGAGGCGGAGCAAGCCTGCTCTAGTCTCACATGTTACTTCCTGTCGTCTGTTGTGTCGTTGTGCCCTTGTTTGTTCCTTTGGCACCTTGGAGTGCTGGGGGGGGGGCGACAGGAAGGATGTGGCCCTGAGTTATGTGTACGCCAATTCAGGGTGTGTGGCAGCCACGCTGGCTGTGTGTCTTGTGAGCTTGTTTGTGTCTGTGTGTTGCTCGTGCGTGTCGTCATCATCTGTCCAGCGTCCACCCATACGCATACCGCGCTGGTGTCCAGTCCGAGCCTGACTGTTCTTCACCTTTCTACCTAGCCTAATGCGTAAAGCCGTACGCGACTCGAGAGCTGCTGCCTGTGTTCAAACAAGTCCCGTGTTTTTCTTTTATTACCCTAGTCTTTTCTTTTTTACGCTCTCTTCTGTGAGCCCAGTCACCTCGCTCGTTCGTGCCCGTGTGCTTTTTGAGAGACGGAGAGACGGCAGACGCTCGTCTCTTAACAAACTTAAGAACTCTTGCCCGGCACTCTGCTAGCGTGGTTGGGTATAGAGCGCTGTAGACACGGCACACGCTGCCGCGAACGTTTCTTTCTTTTTCGCCCGCAAATTCTTGTTCCCCCCCCCCCCACACACACACTGATCACTGTCACAAGACACACACACACACACCACACACACACACACACACACACACACACACACACCGGAGCCTCCGCGCCCACCCACACGCCGGCCACCACGCCCTCGCAGACTCGAAGATAGACACTGAGAGAGGACAGCGAGGCACCTAGCGCACACAGCAGCGCCGCCAGCCCGCCCTCCCAGCTCCCTCCTGGCTCCCTTCACGCCGGCGCGCCGCAGAGCGAACCAGCGCCCCTCCGCGAAAGCGCGCGCCGGGGAAAGCCCCCCCCTCTC